TCTATCAGGGATGTTGGGGAAAAGAGTTACTTCCAGATGACATTAGCAAGATGGTAGAGTTGGAGTTGCTAGCCTCCCTTTCTTGCACAAAGAGCAACATTTTGGCAGCTATACATAAATGAAAATAACTCTGGAACAGCTCAGGAGTCCATTTAAAAAGGGTCTGAATTAGAACAAGATATATTTCATGCTTGTATAATTATGTCAAAATGGAATTTACTGTCATGTATAACCAAAAAGAACCAATAAAAAAGCTGTATCTACAGTGGAAGAAACAACTCAATAATGATCACACAAAAAGGGTGGAAAGGATAGTTTCATTTTGCCTGTATCACCCCATACCCTAAGCTGGTATCATTTAGCAGGAAAAGGGAATAAATTTAACCAAGGAAGTGAAAGATACATATGTTATAAACATTAAAAAACATATAAACATTATAAACATTAAAACAATGATGTAAGAAACTGAAGAAGGCACAAATAAATGGAAAGATATCTTCATGGACTAGAAGAATCAATATTGTCAAAACATCCATATTACCCAAACCAATCCACACACTCAATGCAACCCATATCCAAATACCCAGGGCATTTTTCACAAATAGAAAAAAAATCATAAAATTTGTAAGGAACCACAGTCAAAGTAGCCCTGGGAGGGGTTTGGAGGAGAACAAAGTTAGAGCCATCACACGATCTGATTTGAAATTATATTAGAAATCTATGTCAACATACTTTATATACAGAGATATGAAAAATTGTGGTATATATGTGTAATAAGAATTGTAATACAAAAAAACCAAAGTACATGTATGAAGACATGAATTGATGTGAACATTCTTTATATACAAAGACATAAAAAATTGTGCTCTATATGTGTAATGCATTCTGCTGTTGTGTATTTAAAAAAATAAAATCAATTAAAAAGAATTTTGGATATGGTATAAAAGCAGACATATAGAACAATGGAATAGAATACAGAGTGCAGAAACAAACAAGCATATTCTGTTAAGTAGTCATTGATAAGGGTGACAATAACAATAAAATGTGAAAAGGGTAGTCCCTTCAATAAATGGTGTAGTAGGGAATCCTGTATATCCACATGCAAATGAATGAAATTGGATCCCTATCTTATATAATTCACAAAAATTCAATTCAAAAGAAATAAAATACTTAAACCTAAGGACCCAAACTATAAAAGTCCTAGAAGAAAACATAGAGGAAAGACTTCTTCACACTGGTCTTGGAAATGATTTTTTGGATATGAAACTAAAAGCACAAGAAATAAAAGCAAAGCTTAACAGTGGGACTAAATCAAACTAAAGAACTTCTATACAGCAAAAAATAATCAACAAGTTGAAAAGGCAACCTATGGAATGGGAGGAAATATTTATGAACCATACATATTTCATTAATAACCAAATTATGCTCAACTCACAGAACTCAATCGCAAACAAACAAAATCCAAAAAAATCCCTCTCAAACAAAATAAACAACAACAACAAACAAACAAATGAATAACTGGATTTAAAAATGTGCAATGGACTGAAATAGACATTTTCCCTAAGAAAACATAAAAATGGTCAACAGGTATGTGAAAAGGTGCTCCAATCCCTAATCATCAGGAAATTGCAATTCAAAACCACCCTGAGATATTACCTAGGATGCAAGGATGGCTATTTTCATAAAGTCAAAAGATAAGGCTGTGGATGTAGTTTAGGGAAAGGGTGTTTCCTACCATGCACAAAGCCCTAGGTTCAATCTCTAGCACAACACAAAAAAAGTCAAAAGATAACAAGTTGGTGAGAATATACAGAAAAGGGAACCCTTGCATTCTGTTGGTAGGAGTGTAAATTGGTATAGCCACTAGGGTAAACAGAGGAAAATAGAAGTTCCTCAAGAAATTTAAAATAGAACTTCCATATGACCCAGCAATTCCTCTTCTGGGTATATGTACATTCCATGTTCATTGTTGCATTTTTCTTGTTCACTATGGCATATTAAAGATATGGAAATGACAAGTGTCTATGGATACATAAATGGATTAAAAATTATAAAATTCACACATACACAGGATTATTATTCAGCTTTGAAAAAGAGAAAATACTATCATTTGCAAAAAAGAAATGGATGAAATTGGAAGACCTAATGTTAATTGGAATAAGCCAGACACAGAAAGAAAAATCCTTCATGATCTCTCATATATGAGGAAACAAAATAACAAAAAAAGTCAAATATATAGAAACAGAACAGAAGGGTGATTACTAGAGGCAGCATAGGTAGGCATGGTGAGATGTAAGTCAAAGTATACAAAGTGGAAGTTATATAGATGAATAAATCTAAAGATCCAAAGTATAATATATGAACTATAGCTAATAGCATGATACTGTATACTAGAAAATTTTCTAAGAAAGTATATTTTAGGTGTTCTTATCACAAAAAAAAGAACTAAGAGATGATTAAACTGCTTACCCATAGTGATTACCTATGCATATATATCTCAAAACATCATGTTCTACACCTTAAATTTTTGCAACAAAAATAAATAAAGAAGAAAATTATAAGAGTTATTCCTTTGTGCTACAGTTTGGATCTTAAATGTCCCCCAAAGACTTTGCTTCTGAGAAGGCCAAGGGCTTCTTTAACATTTCACATACAAGTAGGCTTTGACTCACAGCAGTTTCCATTAAAAAAAAATATCCCTGACAGTCATATTCATTTTATCATTCATGACACTTAAGGATAGTTACCACAGATGCTACCTATCCAGTTTAGAAGAAATGGATCCCAATTTTGAACAAATTTGTAGAAAGACTTATATTGTAATCTCTAATTTTTAAATGTAAGCTACAGGAATGACCACAAGTAGTAATACAACAGATTACTTCCTTAAAAAGATAAAATGTAACCTCAAGTCTCTACAAAGTTTTTTAAAGATGCCTGTTAAATATTCTCAGGAGACTACATGGATCTGTGTACTTGATTTACATACATTTACTTTACTTTACGTTATTTATTTGTATGTGGTGCTGAGAATCGAACCCAGTACCTCATGCATGCTAGGCAAGCACTTTACCACTGAGCCACAACCCCAGCCCTAAAGTTGTTTCTTTACCTAGTACTTTTCTGTATTAAAATAAGGCAGGGAATTCAAAGAAGATAACTTCATATAGTTCCTAACTATGATATTATATTTTTACTTAACAGGCTACTATTAGTATATTTTAGCATTTTAGTTGTTTTCATTATGCAATGAAAAAGTACATGATTTATAGTAAACTAAACAGAATATTTTGGGCTGGAATAAAACCCTGACATCATTTCTAAAGGAAATTAAGTTCAACTCACATAAATTTACTTATAACACCTTTCCCAGGAATCTACGTTGTTAAAAGTACAAGGACTATTTGTGGATGATCAGTTATGCATAGAAAATGGAGAAACTGAGAGAAACATAGAATCAACTGGACAAATAGCACAGCCTGAGAACTTGTGTTAGAGAAAAGCATCCTTTTCTAACAAAGTTGTTCGATGCTAAAATGAGTTCAATGAAGTTTAAAAACTTATCTATGTGATATGGCATAGTCTCACTAAAGAAGACTTAATAGTCTTATGATTTTATGAGTTATGTAAGATTCAGTTGAATTCTTCAGAGAGCAAGATGGCACCAAATCACATCACTGTGGTTCATATGTATTTGTTCACATGAGAGACATAACATTATACTGGGGGGAAAAATCCCAGGATTTGGAATCAGGATGCATTTTAGTCCAGGTTCTATCACCTTCTTGCTCTGTGATCTTGAAGAAGTTATTTAACACATCATAATCTAAATTTCTTCAGTTATGAGGATGGTATTTGTAATAATGTCTACCTAATACAATGGTTGCAAAGGTCAAAGGTTGGAAAAAGCAGGTAAATAGTACTTTATCAAATATAAAATGATACACAATTTTTAAATGATTGAATGTTTTTTAAAAAGTCTTAAATTGAAAACTGCTTCAAAAAGTAGCTGGTTTATGATGTGGTGCTACATCTATACTTAAATTTTTTCTGCTTACCAATACAATTCATAGATGTTTTTTTTCCCATTGTGGGGTTACATCAAACCAGGTCCAGACTCCTTCAGATTTCTATTAGAATTTGGGTTTTTAAATGTCAAAATAAGAGTTTGTATTACTTGTGGACTGCAGTAAGCAAGTCTATTCAGAAAGACTGAAGGCTGAACTCTGGTAGGTCAAAATATAGTTAATTTTCCAGTAGTCATCAGGAGGTACATGAGGAAGTTTCTTCTACTGTAAATTCTTTGGGTTGGGTGATTAACTGTTTTCTTTTGTATTTATGGATCTGGGGCTGTTTTGTCTTCCTTTGTTCTATAAATGTACTTTTTTCTAAAACTGGACTTTGAAGTAGAGAAGCTGGTCCAAGAAAATCTAACTGGGTGAACATTGAGAAAGCTTTATTTTCTACCTCTGCTCCCTAACTCATTGCTTTTCCATGTCTTCATACAATCTCATTCATCCCAAGTACTGTTTGTGGTAACTATTATAAGTCTCTATTCAAAAACAGTACCAGCTACTGTTTTATTTGAAACAATAGCTAAAAATTACTCTCTGGATGGCTGGTATTGGCAACGTAAGCAAATATTAGAGTCATAGAAGTAGGCCTACCAACAGGCAGAGAAATAGGGCTGGTAATGTGAATACATGCATAGCACTTTATTAGGTTTCCTGATTACCTGAAAAGTTATAAATCATGATATTGCAAAGCTGATAAGGAACCTCCTAAACTGCCATCTAATCCAATCTAAGCTACCCAATTCCACTAAACAAATCTGGCCATACTTACCATCTTCCATCCAGAGGGCACTTAAGAGGCTGACATGCTTATAAAATCTTTCTGGATATGATTTACTCATGACACATTACATTGGCTGTATTAACATGGATCTATAGTGCTCAGCCTACTCAGCAGAGAAAAGACTTCCTTCTGAGACAACCCACCTCGATTATCATCCTCATTGTCTTCCCATCGTTCTTCATTTGCTAGTAGTGGGTTCTGTGACTCATTCATTGACCTCATAGGGAAGGAGTGTCCATCACCAGGGCTGAAGGAAAGAAAGGCAGTGAGATTTTGCAGTAGACACATACTTTTTTGTAAAGGTCATAATCCTTAGAAATAGGATATATATTTTTTCTATAATATAGGACTATATATATGTATACAAATATATAGTCACACTTGTTTTCTAAAACCTGAAATAGGCTCTTATAATAGCATCATTATAATGCTTTAAATTTCCATATTGTGTTTGCATGTCCACATCAGTGACTATTTTTGTTCGTAAGAAACTTGAAGGGAGGGGGGATAGTAGAGGATAGGAAAGGTAGCAGAATACAACAGTTACTAATATAGCATTATGTAAAAATGTGGATGTGTAACCGATGTGATTCTGCAATTTGTATTTGGGATAAAAATGGGAGTTCATAACCCACTTGAATCTAATGTATGAAATATGATATGTCAAGAGCTTTGTAAGGTTTTGAACAACCAATAAAAAAGAAACTTGTTGTCCACAATGCCCAGTACAGCAATATTCAAGTTTCATAATTATTTAATGATGATGATGCCAACTTAAATTCCACTATCTTATTGTTTGATTCTAAACATTCATGGAAGATGAGTAGACTGAGAATGAGTGAATAGAGTGGAGATAAGCTGCTGTGAACTGGTGATAGGTAATTCCCCAAGTACCTTATCATTATTTGGCTTGCATAGAAGAAAGGTTATTAGGAGCTATGAGAAAAAGCCCAAATGAGGTATCTCTAGAGTGCATATTTTGGGCACAATTATCCACCTGTGGGTATACTTTGTGCATGTTTATGGTAAGCTAGGGTCACTTTTCTGGTTAATTTCTGACCATTAACAGATCAGATATATTGGAAGGAATTGTGGTGGTCCTGGATAGACCAGGTTACAGTTTGTCAGATTTAAATTTGGAATGTATTCACTGATAGAGACTCAAGTGTTCAAAGTGTAACCTGGTCTAACACCTGTGTTTCTACATCTGAATACATTCCAAATTTAAATCTGAGTGATTTGGATTATTCATTTGATATGAGCTATGCCTTTTCTCCTGTTCATGAATGTGATTAACCAAAAGTTGACAGATTTTATTGATGCTACTGTACAGATAATATGTTACTGATTATAAGTAAATGAGGCTTTTGTTTTTATATCAGAGAAGGCTCATTTTAGACCTCCCTTTGATGTGGTAATGGTGTGCATTTGTGTCTGCATGTGTGTGAACAGGGTATAGATAATTGCTGGTAACAGTTATTAACCAACATTACCCAGTGACATAGTTTTGCCTTGTGATTTATAGTCAGGAGAGTAGAATATATCACATTTTAAACAAATGCGTCTATAAAACACTAACTGGTGCAGAGGAAGTATCAGGGCAATGAGTGAAGGGAAGGGGTAAATTTGCCTTAGTTACCACCTAATCCCAGCAAAGTTTCTTCAAATAAGTGAACATAAATGTATCCTTGTCTGAGGAGCATATCTAAAGGGGGATGCAAAAAGCCAGTAAACAAACTCTGTTGCAGAGGTAGTTTTGTTAATGGTTAATCTGGTTCACAAAGTTACTCAGAGGACACAAGCTTTGGCTGTACTGATTTCTCATTAATTTCCTTTTCTGCATTCTTGTTGTGGTTTTAAGAATTACACACAATCTATAAATCAATCTTTCTTTCTTCTCATTTTTCCTTCACAAAAATAACGTTAATATTTCATCCAAAATATGAAAAACAAAGAAATGTAAACTATTTACTGAGACTATTTCCCTTACCACTTTTAGTATTTTTGTCATATTTCTCCTCTTTTGCTTTTCTCCTCTCTATATGTTTGTTCATATTTTCTTTTTTAAAATTTTTAAAAATATTTATTTTTAGTTGTAGTTGGAAACAATACCTTTATTTCACTTATTTATTTTTATGTGGTGCTGAGGATTGAAACCAGGGTCTCGCATGTGCGAGGCAAACACTCTACTGCTGAGCCACAACCCCAGCCCCTTGTTCATATTTTCAATCAACATACATACCATTTTGGATTTCACCTTTTCACAGATAATATTCTATGCATGTCCTCTTAGTGTGACATCATCTTATAACCACTACTTTTGACTACATAATAATCTATCTAGTGGGTATATATATATTTTTCTATAATATAGGAATATATATACATATACGTATATATTCCTATATTGTAAGATATTTGTGTTGTTTTTTATTTATTACCTGTAAATAATTCTATGAGAGACATTTTTGTACATAGTTCATCTCTTTCTTTAGGTTAGATGCCCAGAAATGTAATCACTGGGACAATAAATATGTACATTTTTATAGTTTTGATACATATAACAAAATTCATTTATAAAAGATTAGTACTAGTTTACCTTGCCACAAACAAGACAGGAAGATGTCTATTTTATCATATGCTTGCCTCATGATTTATCTTTGCTAACCTAGAAATTAAAAACTTGGGAAACAGAGTGTCATGTTAGACAGAGACCTGCTGTATACTATAATCAAAATTGAATTTGGTACTTCAAATCATACTACATCATCAACCTCTTTCAGTGGTAATAATTACCCACCTGGACCCAATAGGTATTAACCAGAACTTCTTATTATCTCCAAACACCTGTTGGATATTCTTGATGAAGCCAAGATTGAACCCATTTTTCTCTGGGCCACTTGTAAACACTGGAGTGCAGAAGGCCTCTAGAATAGGGTAGGAAAGTTTCGGGGGAGGGGGGAAGAGGAAGAAAGAAATAAAGGTACAAATTTCAGCAGTCATGATTTTACAGTTCCCCATGAATGTAACTTGCTTCTATGATATCTTTTTGCTGTGTTAGTATAGGTCCCTCATTTTTAGTTACTGTCAAATTACTTTGTAAAAATCAGTTTAATCACTTAATACCAGGTAAGTTTGTAATTCCATATGAAGAAATAGTACTCATATTTTGAAAAAGGCAGGGGAAACACATTATGGTAGAAATAATTAAGCAGCCATGGGAGTAGCATGTATTTGTACTGCTGGATTTCAGGAGTGAAGGAACAGATTTAACAACACTTTATTTGAGTCTAAGTGGCAACAACAGCCAAATGGTTTCCATCTGTAGAGCTGGGACCAAAGTAATGACACATAAAGAGATGATAATGACATTGATTTGGTTTTGAAACATTTCAGAAATGAAGATGTTCACACTGAAGCCTGCAATGTAAGAAACTGAGTTTTACTCCAGTAAAATGCCAATGGGTGAACTATAATCACCTCAAAGACCATGAGGAATTGGACCACGTTAGTGCACATTATTTTTAGACACACATTTATCCCATTAAGCAAACACTTTCACTGTGGGACTCTGGCTGCATCTGACCACTTCCCATTTGTGCTTTATTTTCAGACCCTGTTATCATGAAGCTTTTAGTACTTTTCTACTCTGTAGCTGATCTCTAAGCCAAATGTGCTAATCTACCACCCTAGCAACTAAGTGCTACATATATATTTGATTTAGAAAATGAAGCAAATACTTTCTTGGCTGTTAGTATTATTAGCAAATGTATTCCCAAATTGCAATAGCTTTTGCACCAAACTTTCCTCAAGTTTATTCTAATTAAACATTCAACTCTTAATCACTTTCTCCTTACTTCTTGTGTACTGATTTGTAGAAATTTTAAACATTTTTTACCATTACTAAAATAACAACAACAAAAAAATTACACTGGAATCCATCAGAAATAAAATACTCAATAACAAGCAAGGTTTATTTCTTACACTTCTTTTCTTTTTTGGGAGGATACTGGGGATTGAATTCAGGGGCTCTCAACGACTGAGACAAATCCCCAGCCCCATTTTGTATTTTATTTAGAGACAGTGTATCCCTGAGTTGCTTAGTGCCTTGCTTTGGCTGAGGCTGGCTTTGAACTCGCAATCTTCCTGCCTCAGCCTCTGGAGCTGCTGGGATTATAGGCGTGTGCCACCACACCCAGCACCTTACACTTATTTTCTAGAGACTAACTTGTTCAACATGTTTCTTGTTCCCATGCTCCCTGTTCCCATGCTACCTACACAGTTCCTTAATAACTACAGATATTCAGTTATTTGATTCTTTTTCAAGACTTTGAATTCACTCTGAAGGCTCTGTGTTGGGATGTACTCAATAAATTAGATACTTCTATCTTTACTGACATTCATTTCCTCCTTTTAACATTTTCTTCTGTACTGATTCTTTCCTTCATTTCCTCATGTGAACACATTTTTTAAGTCCTCTTGAGTTGTAAATCTGGGGAGCTATTACCCAATACACACTCTAAAGAGCAATAGCCATTTTTTGTTTTGTGTAGGGTTTTATCTACTAATGCTCTCTTTAGTCTATAAGCTTCATTCACTATGGTTCTCCAGTTTGGTAAAATGTATTTTCATCTGTCTCAGATTGGAGTCAAAGAGATGTCACTATAGCTAAAATGTTTCATTGGAAGTTTTTCTTTTCCTCAGGGAAAAAAAAAAACAGATCAATCTGATAAACTCTAATATGTTTGGGGGGGGTATTTTTTTTTTTTTTGGCAGTACTAGGGATTGAACCCAGGGCCTCACACATTCTAGGCAAGTGGTCTACCACTGAGCTACATTCCCAGCCCAATGTTTTTTCCTAGTCTTAATATTCAGTCTTACCTAAGGTAGTTTTGTTTCTGCTGACAAGCCAACAATGGTAACCAAAGAGAATCACAAGGCTGACAAAAAACATGCAGGCCACAAAGAGGAGAAAAAGGACATGGAACTTAGAGCGAACACTGGGCAATTCCCCCTAGAAAAGAAATAATAAACAAAAAAAAGATTAAAATGGGAAAGCTTGGCTACCTGTTCTACAAAGGTTATAGTTTTCTGCATGTATAAAATATCTAGGTACAATTTTTAAAAATAGATTCTGTAAAAATTTTTTACAAAATTGCTCTCTGTTGATGATTATACCTTATTAAAGATATGCTCTTAGTCTACAAAGCCTAGAATAGATCATTGCTTAAGTGCACTTCAGTGTAAAATAGAGTATATAATGTACCAGTTAGAAAAGGGTAATGTGAAAAGGGAATATTTGGAGCATAATTGGCATAAAGGTCATATTTCATTTAGTTTGAGAAATATGAATTGTTGGTTAGAGGTGATTTTGATGTCATAGGGTCCATCCTTTTATTTCAAGGTGGGCTATTCTAGAATTCTTTATATGTCATGTTTCCTTGGACATATGGCTATTGAAAATGTCATAGTGATGAATGTAGGAAGTTAAAACACATACATAGAATTTTAAAATGTCCTACCTATAAGTCATGACCTGATTTTAAAGCTGCTGCACATTTTATATGGTTGTTTTTTATAGCTGAAGTGGAATGTGTTGGTATATTAGATCCTGTGGAACAGCTGTTTAGACAGTACAAATCAAGAAGGATTTTACTGGCAATGTAAAAGTAGGTGGCTAAAGATTTTTATAGTTATCTGGGACATCTTATTTTCCATGTGGCACCAATTTTTCTTTAAACATGTAATTCTAGACCAGAATGAATGTTCTAAAGTTCTGTAGCATGCATATCATATAACATTTTGTCTTCTGAAGAGAACTTTATAAAACATTTTTAATTTGGAGTGAGCAGTTGGAGGAATACTATTGCTTATTTCCTCCTTTCCCATGCTGGTCATTATTCTGGCAAGATGAAACAATTTGAAATATTTCAAAATACTTTCCAGTAATAGTTAAAAGTGTGTGTGTGTGTGTGTGTGTGTGTTTGTGTTTTCTGGTACTGAGGATTGAACCCAGGGGTGCTTTACCACTAGTCCTTTTTATTTTGAGACAGGCTTTTACTGTTTATTTTATTTTTATTTTGAGACAGGGTCTCATTAAGTTGTTGAGGCTTACCTCAAGCTTGTGACCTACTGTGTTGTGAATCTACTGCATTATCCCTTGATAGAGTTCTTAATATTAAGCTTTTAATTTTTTTTAGTTTGAAGAAGGTTACAGCCCTATGCTCAAAAATACCTTCTCAGAAGACAACCAAGCTAAATTGCTTAAAGCAATGATCACTAGAGGCAATTCAGAGGAATATTGGTAGAATGATTCTACTATCATGTTTCTAAAATAATTTATAGCCTCTGTGAGGAGATTCATGGCCCAGTGTGGGAGGTATGTGTTACTACTTTTGCATAAGGCAAGGATCAATCTCCTATCAAAGTAGCTGTTGTTTAAGTTAATATTGAGAGGAGAGAGAAATTCTGACGGTCTTTGAATCCTTTATTCCAAAGGAGCTAAAGCTTTTCCATACCAGAACCATAATGGGCAATAGGACATGGTATAGTATATAAGATCATTGGGCTTAGGATCAGACTTAGGTTCAATTCTCACTTTGAAATTTACAAGCTAGTTGATCTTTGGCATGTCACTTAACTACTATGATCCTCATTCTTATCACCTTTGAATGAAACTAATAATTCCTGCTTTGCCTACTTCTCAGGATTGTGCTGAGGATCAGATGAAATAAAGGAAGTGCTTCAAAAACCACAACGTATCATATAAATAGAAGTTGCTGTTCTTAGAAATACAGCTTGTCTCCTTGATAAATGGCTTTTAAAATATATGGCAGTGTTTACTTTTTATTTTAAAGAGAGATTTGATTTAAACTGAGAAAACCATCCTCAAACCACACTAAGGTGCTTTTTGGCTGGAAAGATTGCAAGGAATCATTTTCTTGAACTGTCAATGCCCTTTTCATTATGAGGGCAAGCAGAGACAGGTTTCCTTGCCTCACATATGTCAGGCACAAGCTAGGATATCATGGAGAAAAAATGAGGGAATAGGAAAAGGACAAGGGTATGTTCAGCCCTGGTATTGCTTGTGAATGCGGCCATGTTTCTGGTGATTAATTCATATCCAATTATCATCTTGCAAGAGTACAAAAAAAGCATGCAGCACCTAGCTGGCATTGTGGTATTTGATTATTGGCTGGCTAGGAGGGCTAAAGGCAAAATATGTGAAATGCAATCTTGTTTACTTTGTTATGAGGGTAAAGGGTGGTTTTTAAACAGTCGCCTACTGTGTTAAGTACCAAGAAAGGTCTGTAGTGAAGATCAAGGCTGACACTTTCCCTGTTGATTGGATGCAGCAGATTTTCTTCACATTTAGAGTAGTAGCTCAGTGTGTGGATAGAATGCCAAATAGGTCATGGAAACCTGAGCAATAGAAAATAAATCTTGTGCTGTGCAAAGGGGTGAAAGAGATGTTAAGATGTATAGCATGGTGAAACATTTCCTATTTGGGGAAAATGTATGAGATAAAACTTCGTTATTTATGCTAATAGTTTGAGTCTTTGAATTGCAGATTTTGATATCTATCATATAATTCCCTATTCTTAATGTTATTAAATATTTGAATCGATTAAGCAAGTTGAAGGGGAATGGAAAGCATATATCACTATAATTTTGTACACTATATTTTCTAGACTACTAGGAATCAAAACACTGATTTATAATTTAAATATTCTCAGCAATTTACCTTCTCACTGCCTTGTCTTTCTTGTTTGCTCCAGTTTATTATAATTTATATTCTGACCACAGAATTCATGTTCTTTCCCACAGCTTTACCTCTCTAGCTAATGTGCTTGTGCAGTTCCTAAAGTAATAAATATTTGCTCTGCCACATTTGTCTTTTGCTATTCAGGATAAGTTTGGACAACCCTCATCATGGATATCTTAGTAACTATACTGGAGTTGTATGGAGGAGAGTTCTTCTGGAGTCCACTGGCATGAAATTTAAAAATAACGTATTTCACTGTACTTCTGCCAGACCCTATAAACATATGTACAGGGTCTGTACCTATGACTGATATCTTCAACTAGGAGAAAGATAAAAGCAAGGTTTTTGAGATTTCATTGTAATTATTAGAATTATATTTTGAAAGGCAAAACACTTTCAACATCTGTTTCATTTGATCTTGGCAATGAGCCAGTAAGGCAAGTAATGAAAACAGTATTACATCTCAGTTCTCCTAATTTCCAACCCAGGGTTTATCATAAGTTAAAGAAAGACTTTCCTGTTCATTTGGTCACATGAGAAGGTTATGTCAGTGTATCTCTCTATATGGTAGGAATTTTGCAAGTCTCCTTTGACCTAATTTCATGTTCAAAGGGGAGTGCTTTGTTAGTCTTTGTTTTTTTTTTTTTTTTTAGAAACCAGAGATTTGAATTAGTTCCAACATTTTTCAAAAATATAACTTGTAGGAAGGAGGTTTTAAAAACTCAATTGGGGCTGAGGATGTGGCTCAAGTGGTAATGCGCAGGGCACTGGGTTCGATCCTCAGCACCATATAAAAATAAAATAAAGATGTTGTGTCCACTGAAAACTAAAAAAAAAAAACCAAATATTAAAAATTCTCTCTCTTTCTCTCAAAAAAAAACTCAATTGCAGAAGTACATTTTAAAGAATTGGTAGGACTCAAGAGGTTAGGTAACTGAGGGCCTTAGCAAGATTGTCATATGCAAACAGAAACTTGTTTAACTAGAATCTTTAAACAGCAACCGCTGGTCTCAGAGTATATAACATGAAAACTTTGTTTTTAGTGGCTTCCCCCTTTGGTTTCTTCAGTATTAGCTATTTCAAAATGTAAAATGTTATAGGACAAATAATGTCACAGACTGAAGTGTATGTTTGTCTGTGGGGGACCCTTCAGAATTTGTAACTTACTCTCCAATACTTGATGAAATAGCTGAAGACGGTTGTAGCAATGTACAGGCAGTAGAGAACAGAATAAGCTAAGAACTGAAGAAAGAATTTGTAGTTGGAAAATCCAATGCAGTTATTAACCCTAAAAAAAGAGAAAAACTAATTTGAAATCAGGACCTATTGATTGAAAACACACTGACATATAAGTGGACTAAGCAATGGAAGCATGTTACTCCTACTGTCTCATTATGTGTCATGTAAAACCCAACAGAGATAAAAGTCCCTTAATAGGAACAGACTAGAAAAACAAGTTCACATCTCACTTGTTTCTCCTTTCATTTACAGGCACAGAAACATCTAATAGTTCTGGACTAGTTCCTGACACACCGGAGCAAACCTGGATCTTGGTTGCTAAAAAACTATTAAAGTCTTAGCAGCTACATTTGGTAGAGTTGTGGCTTGTTCTTTTTTGTAATCAGGTGATTTCACTGGTTCTCTAGATCTGATGTACAAAATTTAACGAATTGCTGAATTTAACAATCTACATTATTTCAAACATCAAGCAAGCTAGAAACAAAAATAAATTGTGTTATCTTACAAGAGGAAAAATATTGTGCTATATTTCATTACTATGCTCAGTTGCTAAAGTTAATGGGCAGGAGACCATTAGCTTTGTGACCCCAGGAACTCTCTACTATACCTTTGGTGGTATGGTTATTCTTGCTCTAAAATTTTACCCCTCCCCTGTCCCCCACATAAATACAAAGTCCAGTGAATTATGGTGACAGAAAAAGGCATGTTACAACTATGCTTAGGTAAGTGAGCACATTGAACAACTTTGACCCTTTTAGAGGAGAGAAATGAATCAAAGGGACATACCAAGGGCAGTGATGGTCCATTTTTAAAACACACCTACAAAGGGGAGAAAATACAATGTGATAAGTGAGGCTATGGAAATGAAGCAACATCTCAATATTGAACTCAAGGTTTCACCAGTATTTTTACATAGATCCAGTATACCTGTTCCCAGATCTCCATTACAGCAACTGCAAAACCATTGTATCTGTTATTCCTAGGATGAGATGATCATAACAAATACTTTATAGGATTATGCTGGCAGCAAGTTACACACTTAAAAGTCCAACCTTTAAAAGGGATTGGAATCTCCAGGATATTGATACAACAGAAAAGGTTCAAGGCATCCCCTCTAGTTTTGTTCAATACTCAGTTTAATAAAAGCACAGGAAAAAAAAAACCCATATGGCTGTAGTCTGTGTTTGAATCAAAACTAAGAGAAATATGAATGGCAAAACCATCCAAGAAGAGGGGATGGGGTTGTGGCTCAGTGGTTGAGCTCTTGCCTAGCATGCATGAGGTACTGGATTCGATCCCTGGCACCACATAAAAGTAAAAACAAATAAAATAATGGTATTGTGTACATCTACAACTAAAAAAAATTTAAAAAGGTATACAAGAAGAAAGGCATGAAGATTACATATATTAACATAAAATGGTTTTACAAAGATAGGACTTATTTTTGTTGATTAAAAAAGAAGCAGAGTAGTTTAATGCAATAAATACACTTCTTGTAATCTTGTATTGTATGGCACACAAGAGCCTACCAAGGCTCCTGAGGTAGAAATAGGAACATGACATATAGAGTCATCTGAGTTTTCTTTTCAAAGAAGCCCAAAGCTGGAACAATTTGAGCCACAAATTAAATAAATACAGTAGTACTGGGTCATAGCACAAAATAGAAAAATGAATATTCATGCCTCCATATTGAGATAAATAAATGATTGACTAAATAAGTAAATGGGAGAGAAAATGCACACTTCCCATACTGAAGAATCCCAAATAATTTATACAGACACTCCATCTTCAAAAAGTAGGAGGGGCTGAAGTTGTGGCTCAGTGGTAAAGTGCTTACCTAGCACATATTAGGACCTGGGTTCGATTCTCAGCACCACATAAAATAAATATAAATAAATAAAATAAAGTTATTGAAAAAAAGAAGAGGGAGTATAACTTCCCATTCCTGTAGTTGGGCAGTGCATAGTAACTTCCTTTTGAAGAGTACAGTAGAGGGAGGGGGTGGAGAGTAATTTTACAAACACTACTTGAGGCAGATGATAAAGATTAGCATTGCTGTGATAAGTCATGTTTATTTGTACCCTTGATATGATGTAATCAGAATGGCACTTTACTTCTATGGTCTTCCTCCCCAAATCACATTACCCAAGTCTAAGGATCACGAGGAAAGATAAAAAAAAAACTCATCTGAGGAACATTCTACAAAATACCTAACCATTAATCCTGAAAACTGTCATGATCATCAACAAGTAAAGTCTGAGAAATTGTCACAGCTTAGAAGAGCTAAGGAGACATAACTACAAAATATGATGTGTTATTCTGGATGGGATCTTAGAACAGATAAAGGGCATTAGGGAAAAATTGAGGATCTCTAAACAAAGGATAGCCTGTAGTTAAAAATAATGTAGCAATACTAGTTCACTAATTGTAACAAATGTATCATACTAATAGAAGGTTTTAATAATAGAGGAAAGTGGGTGTTGGGCATATGAGAACTATCTTCATAATAAATCCATAAATCTAAAGCTGTTCTAAAATAAAAAGATTATTTTTAAAATGTGATTATATTTCTCTTTCTATCTTTAGAGTAGTTTGAATCATCATCATTCCTGTGAGAGTGTTTGGCATGTACTCATTATGACTGAAAGGAAATGCTCTTATCTAGGCATGGTTGCATGTTAGGATCAGTCATTTTGTTGTCTAGGCAACCATCAGTAGCCAAGCTCAGCCCAGGGGGAATATTACTGTCACTTACATGGCACAGACAGAGCAGTGATGGCAGCGGTCTGGCTTGATCAGATGGCACCGGTCACAGAATCGTACAGCTATAGGAAAAATAAGGCGGTTAGCATTTCTTAGGGCTCACTGTAAGACTTCATATCTTATTAGTCTACCCGGATGGCTTGTTATACACTACCCACAGATGGTCACACTCATCTCAAGTTGCCAAGCAAAAGTCAATCATATAGAAGAATTGTGCTATGTATTTCTTTTCTTATTAAGTCAGTCTTGAAAGCACCTTTCAGGAGAATAAGGGAAAAGGCTTCATATTTAGATATCAGACCATAAGATTTCATATTATCAAACAAACTACTATCAACTATTTGAGGGATCTGGAGAAATAATTTAGTCTCTATTTATTGAAACTCTCCTATCTGGAAATAAGGATTCACAATTTAATTCCTGTCTCAAGAGGCTAAATTTCATAAATGCATAAAACTACAAAATGGTAAACTTAGAATAACAATGTATGCTAGACCCTGGGTTCAATCCCCAACACTGCAAACAAAACAAGACAATTTGGAAAATAGAAGAGAATTTTTCAACAATTTCAATTGACCATTTCACAGATAAAAAAGTAAAGTCTTGGTCCTTATCAAGTGATTTGCTCAAGGCCACATAGCAAGTAAGTGGCAGGACTGTTACCTGTACAGTTTTTCTGATTACTTCATTCAGGTTTCTATTCGCCCTGTAGGTCTGATATAAAAATCCCTCCTGCCCATTTGTTCCTCCCTTTCTCCTTTCTTTCATTCCATCCTCTTGGATTAAAGCTATTTTCCTTTTCTTCTATTTTTTTCATGTTCATTGATAGAGTATGCCTGTGTATAATGTAATTATATTAAGTATAAAAACTAAATAATTTAAGCTAATATAATAATTCCACTTACAGTGTATATTAAGCACACATAACTGTTTCAACACAATAGGCCACTAATTCAAAAGATTCCTGTGTTCATTCCTATTGATAAAGAGTATATGACAAAAGATAGAGGTATTATTAAGTCAAGAATGAAAGGAGAGAGGCTTTCATGTTTGGATCCTTTAGCACATTTTTAAAGATACTGTCAATGCCATAGACTGATCTACCATCATCTCTCCTGGAATAGTTCTGATCCATGAGGAGATACAATAGACTACAAAAGAATTACCTGAATTTTGTAATTTGTACAGATAGAAATCTAGGGAACATGTGTGGGAATAGATACTGAAGATCTGAAATAATGGTGGAAGGAATATAAAGTTAGATCTAGACAAAAGTATTGATTCAGGCCCACTGAGCAGATTTTGCATTAATGTTGCAGCTCAAGGAGTTTGGCTGGTTGATTGGCTGAAACATGGAACAAAATGTGGCACACAGTGAATGAATTTGAAATGCCATACCTGCCTTGGTTTAATGTAGAGGAAGGGATTCAAAGGTTTAAGGAAATTGGAATGTTAGGAGGAATTTGTCATTTAATACCTACTCACTCACACTAAGAGGGTCTATAAGACATACCATTTACCAATACTGTGAGAAATAAATTTATGAGGGGAATCTAAGAATGCTTTAAAAGCTTTTTTTAAATACCTTTGTTTATTCATTTATTTATTTATATTTATGTGGTGCTGAGGATCAAACCCAGTGCCTCACACATGCTAGGAAAACCGCTCCACCAACTGAGCTACAACCCCAGCCCTTGAAGAGCTTTTTGACTGCTCTTGTCTCTATGTCAGTTCTCGCTGTAGTCACTAAACTGGGAAACCTAATGCGATGGAAGTAATTGGATCATGTGGTGGCACTCAGCCACAAAAAGCAAGGTGGATGCAGCTATGGTTATGGTCATCAGAGTCAAAATAGCAATTAGAATAGTCTGAACTCATGCAGATTTATGGCTTTGGCTAATGAATCATGGTGTTTCTAGAAGTGAAATAGGTAGAAAGCCTACTAAATTCTTACTTGAGCTATATAAGCAAAAATGTTCTAGATTGAGTGAACAAAAGTCTTTTTTGAATCATTAAAAAAAAAGTAGTCATGGCTTGAGCCAGCTCACAGACTCAGAGGCCCTTGAATAAAGGAGAGATTGTATTCCTGTGAGGAAAGACACTAGAATATTACCAACACTACTAAAATTTTATACTGTTCAACTTTCCACTATTCTTCATCAAAGGTACCTTTGGCCTTTTACCAAGGCAGCTGTGCATTAGGAAAAAAGAAATAAAAGCATCATTCCAGGGGGCTACTGGACACTGGCTTTGAAGTGACACTAACTCCATAAGACCCAAAATGTTATTGTGGTTCACCAGTCAGAGTTGGAACTTACAGAGGTCAGGTGACCAACAAAGTTTTAGCTCAGGTCTGATTCACAGCAGGGACAGTGGTACCCAAATGCCTCCTGTGGATATTTCTCCAGTTTCTAGAATGTATAATTGGAGTAGACATGTTTAGTAGCTGACAGAATCTCCACATTGATTCTCTGAGTTGTATAGTGAGGGTTATCATGGTAGGGAAAGGCCAAGTAGCAGCCAGTAGACTTGCCTCTACCTAGAAAAATGGTAAGACAAAGTAATACTGTGTTCCTGGAGGGATTGCAGTGGTTGGTGCCATCATCAAGGACTTGAAGGATGTTGGGTGATTACTCTTACTACATATCATTCAATTTACCTATTTGGCCTATGCAGAAGACATGTATTGTGAGGAATTATGATAAGTTATTGTAACCTTAATCATATGGAGACCCTAATTGTCAGATATGGCTTCATTGCTTGAGGGTACCGGGTATGCTGCTATTGATTTGGCAGGTTCCTTTATCTCTATCCCTGTCTATTAGATCCACTAGAGGCAGTCTGCTTTCTGCCTGGCAAAGCATCTTTACTTTCCTACCCTGAGGGCATATCAACTCCCCAGTGATATGTTATAATTCAGTTTGCTGGGATCTTGATCACCTTTATCTTCCACAAGATATCACATTGGTCCATTACATTGATGACATTATGCTGATCTGACCCAGTGAGCAAGAAGTAGCAACTATTCTAGACTTATTGGTAAGACATTTGTATCCATTGGGTGAGATAATAAATCCAATGAAAATTCAGGAACATTTTACCTCAGTGAAATTTCTAGGGGGTATAATGATGTGTGGCATGTTGACATACCCCTTCTATGGTGAAGGGTAAGTTGTTGCACCTGGCCCCTCCTACAACAAAAGAAGAGGCACAGTGCCAAGTAGGCCTTTCTTTTTGGATTTTGAAGATAACAAATACCTCATTCAGGTTTGGTACTCTAGCCCATTTACTGAGTGACCTGAACAACTGCTAATTTTGAGTGGGTCTCAGATATAAGAGCAGGCTCTACAACAGGTCCAGGCTACTGTGTAAATGCTTTGCTGCTTGGGCCACATGATCCAGCAGATAAAATTATGCTTGAAGTATCAATGAAAGATAGGGATGCTGTTTACAGCATTTGGTAGAGCCCTATAGGTGAAATTTTAGTGCAGACCCTTAGTATTTTGGAGCAAAACCCTACCATTCTCCACAGATAGCTATTCTTTTTTGAAAAATATTATTGACCTGTTCCTGGGGCTTAGTAGAGATAAAATCCTTACCCATGGGTCACCAAGTTACCATGTGACATGAGTTGTTCATCATGAACTGGGTGTTATCTGATTCACCAAGCTATAAAGTTGGGTATGCAGAGCAATACTCCACATTCAAACTAAAGTGGTATATATATGACCAGGCCTGAATAGGCCCTGAAGGCATACGTAAGTAACATGAAGAAGTAGTCCAAATATCTGTAGCCCCTATTCCTGCTATATGACCTTCTGTCTCCCAGCTTGCATGGTCTCATGGGAAGTTTCCTACCATTAGCTGACAGAGGAAGAGAAGCTCATATCTGACACACAGAGGGTTCTATGATATGCAGACACTACTTGAAAGTAGACAGCTAAAGTACTACAGTCCCCTTCTGGGATATACCTGAAAGACAATAGAGAAGAAAAATCCTTCCAGTGGGCAGAACTTTAAGCAGTACACTTTTATTTGCTTGGAAGGAGAAATGGCCAGGCACATGAGGATATATCAATTCTTGGTCCTTTGCCACTGGTTTGGATGGATGATTGGAGACTTGGAAAGAATAAAACTTGAAAATTGGTGACAAGGAGATCTGGAAAAGAGTTATGTAAACAGACCTCTCTGAATGTAAAAACATTATAAAGATGTTTGTGTCTCATGTGAATGCTCACTAAAAGTTGATTTCATGTGTCAGTCTTAACTTGCTGCTATAACAAAATACCACAGCCTGAATAGTTTCTGAACAACAAATTTATTTCTCACAGTTCTGAAGGCCAAGAAATCCAGATTTAGTACTGGTGAGGGAGGGCCCGTTTCACAGATAGCACCAACTTGCTATTTATTCACATGGTGAAAGGGCAAGACAGCTCTCTGGGCCTTTTTATTAGGGCATTAATCCCATTAATGAGTTCTTCACCCTCATGATCTTGTCACTTTCCCATGGCTACACCTCCTATTACCATCCACATTTAAGTTTTCAATGTATGAAGGGGTGGGGGCTCACAATCATTTATATCATAGCACCACAACAGAGAAGGATTTTAATAACCAAACACATATGATGACTTGTTCTGTGGATACCAGTCAGTCTCTTTCCACAATCACCCCATTAATGCCCAATGGTCTCATGGACAACATGGCTATGGTGGCAGAGATGGAGATTATTCATGGGTTCAGAAACATGGCCTTTTATTCATCAAAACCAACCTGGCTTTGGCTACTGCTGAATGTCCAATCTGCCAGCAGCAGAGAACAAAATTGAACCTCTAATATGACACCATTACCCATGATTATCAGCCATGTACTTGGTGTCAGGTTGATTATATTAGAATGCTTCAATCATAGATGGGGAAGCATTTGTTTTTATTGGAACAGAAAGTCTAGATAAAGATTTGGTTTTTCTACATGCAATATTTCTGCCAAAACTAACACTGTGAACTTACAGAGTGCCTTGTCCATTATCATGTATTCCACACAGCAATGGTGTTGATCAAGGAACTCACTTCACAGCAAGACAAATAAAGCAATGTGTCCATGCTCATCAAATGTACTGGTCTTACCATGTGTATCACTATTCTGAAGTAGCTGGTTTGACAGAATAGTGGAATGGTCTTCTGAAGGGTCAGTTACAGAGCCAATGAGGTGGCAATACTTTGTGGGACTAGGACAAAGTTATTCAAAAGGCTACATATGATCTGAATAAACATCCAATATATGATACTGTTTTTTTTTCTGATAGACAGTATCAATGTATCCAGGAATTAAGGGTGGAAATGGGAATGGCACCATTCATTATTATTTGGGGGGTGGGACCAGGGATTGAACTCAGGGGCACTCAACCACTGAGCCACATCCCCAGCCCTATTTTGTATTGTGTTTAGAGACAAGGTCTCACTGAGTTGCTTAGTGCCTCGCTTTTGCTGAGGCTGTCTTTGAACTTGTGATCCTCCTGCCTCAGCCTCCCAAGCCATTTGGATTACAGGAGTGCACCACTGTGCCCAGCTGTACCATTCATGATTACCCTCTGTTACCCACTAACAAAATATTTATTTCTTGTTCCTGTGACTTTTTACTTTGCTAGTCTAGAGGTCTTAGGTAAAAAGGGAGGAATGCTTCCACCAGGAGACAACAATGATTCTGTTGAACTGCAAGTTAAGACTGACACCTATTCATTTGGAGACTCTCATGTCTCTAAATCAAGAAGGTAGCTGCAATATTGGCTAGGAAAATTGATCCTAACTACTTAGGAGAAATTAGACTACTACTCCACAATAGAGCTAAGGAAGAAGCTACCTTAGGACATTTCTTAGTACTCCTATGTCCTGTGATTAGAAGAATAGAAAATGATAACAAACCTAATTTAGATAGGACTACTTATGGACTAGACTCCTCAGGAATGAAGGTTTGAGTCATCCCACCAGGTGAAGAACTATGATCAGCTGAGGTACTTGCTGAAGGTAAGGGAGTACAAAATGGCTAGTGGAAAAAAGTAGTTATTAATGCAAGCTATGACCATGTGACCAGTTACAGAAATGAGGACTATAATTGTCATAAGTATTCCTTCCTTATTTTGTTATGAATATCTATCTGTGTGTATCTCAAATATCTTTCCTTTCTTCCTTCCCGTATTTGCTTATCATATAACATAAAATGTATTGACTTGACATCATAGTATTTGAGTATTGTTAATTTTATATCATAATATTGAAGTTACAAGGAGAAAAGTAAACACCACTGAAGGACTTTTACCTCATCTTATAGGGAAGGGTTTAGTTTGTTTTTGGTTGTACACAGGATAGTTGTAACATGTTGGGCAGAATTATTGTCTTAGGTTTTTTTTCTTTTGTGGTGCCGAGAACCAGACTAGAGCTGACCTGCCTGGTAGGTGAGCACTCTCCACTGAGCTACACCCACAGCCCTTGTTGTTTTTATTTAGAGATTAAGTATGGCTTAAGGAGATGTGTATGTATGCCAAGTTAGTAAGAGGTGATGATTCATTTTATGTGTCAACTGAGTCATGGGGTACTCAGATATTTGGTTAAATATTATTTCTGGGCATCTATGTGAGAGTATTTCTAGGTAAGATTAACATTTGAATCAGTAGACTAAAGTAGATTGTCATCCCAAATGTGGGTGGGGCTTATCCAATTCCTTATGGACAAGAATAGAATAAATATATAGAGGAAGGGAGAATTTGCTTTCTCTCTGCCTGACTGCATGAGATGGGTCATCATTTTTCCTGACCCCAGATTGGAATATCAGTACTCCTGGTTCTTCTGCTTTCAGATGGCAGACCTCAGGGCTTCTCAGCTTCCATGATTGTAGAAGCCAATTTCACACATATACATACACAAATATACTCACCACACATTTTACTGATTCTGTTTTTCTGGAGAACTCTGACAGATACACATGGTTAGTTCCTTTTTATCATTCATATCTCAGCTCAATAAGCACTTCTTCAGAAAATCCTTTCCTATTACTCTATCATAGGGACTACAAACAAATGCCTTAGGGATCTAGGGAATTTTGAGTAGTAAATGAAGCAGCCTGTTGGGGATTGTGCAGAATCTGAGAATTCATGTTCTTTCCAAAGAGGACTGCCACTACTCAGATCCAGCTAATTTTTGCCATGTTGGAAGGCAAATTATTGCCATACTGTGTTAGTTTCAAGAGAAGCCAGAAACCTGGATTTTTAAGTAGAAATATTCTAATCATTAAAAACTAGCAACAAATGCAAAGTTTTAAAAGTCACTTTAGATAGACAACAAAAATGTGGTTGGTATACATAATGGGATATTATTTAGCCACAAAAAAAAATGAACTCTTGTTATTTATTTATTTTTATTTTTTTATTTATTTTTTATTTTTTTATTTTTATTTTATTTTTATTTTATTTTTGAACTCTTGTTATTTGTAGCAACATAGATAGAAGTAGAGGTCATTATGTCCAGTGAAATATGTTAGGCACAGAAAGACAAATACTACATGTTCTTATATGCTCAAATTTCAAAAGTTGATTTTATGGGCTGGGGTTGTGGCTCAGTGGTAGAGTGCTCGCATAGCATGCTTGAGGCACTTAGTTTGATCCTCAGCACCACATAAATGTAGAATAATGATATTGTGCCCACTTAAAACTAAAAAAATATTTTTTAAAAAGTTGATTTTACAGTAGAGGATATAAAAGTGCTCAATAGAAACCAGGAAAAGTAGTAGGCAAGGATATAGAGGGAAGTTAGATAATAGGTACCAAAATATAATTTCAAAGGAAAAATAAGTTCTAATGTTCTACAACATAGTAGGGTGACCATACTGAAAACAATTTATTATTTAATTTGTAAAGAGCTAGAAGAGAGGGGCTGGGGTTGTGGCTCAGCAGTAGAGCGCTCGCCTAGCATGTGCAAGGCCCTGGGTTCAATGCTTAGCACAACATATAAATAAATAAATTAAAAAAGTATTGTGTCCAAGTACAACTAAAAAATAAATTTAAAAAATTTTTTTAAAAAGAGCTAGAATAGAGGAGTTCGAAGGTTCCCAACACAATAAAATGTCAAACTTCAAAGAGAAAATTACTAATTATCCTGATTTGATATTACACATTGTATACATGTATCAAATATTACACTATATCTCATAAATATGTAAAATTATTTTATGTTAATAAAAACACAGAGATAAAACAAACTATATCTCTGAGCCCAACTCACCCCATATGCATCTAGTTTGTATCCTCTGCACTATTATATTATTTTGTTGGCTACTGCCTAAAATTATATAATTTTCTGTTTCTCTCTTCATTAGAATTTAAACACCACAAGAAACTTTGTGACTCTATGTTCAGCTGTGTATTCCCAATGTTTAGAATAGTGGTCATACACATTGGTTACTTTTTAAAAATTAGTATTATGGAAGATTTCAAATATACACTAAAAGTAGAGACACTAGTATAATAAACCCCAGGTACCATATCCAACTTCAACAATTATCAACCCTTGTGCCATTTTTGTTTAATATGTTTCTTCCACTGGCTTTTTACTTGAGCATTTTAAGTAAATACTAGACATTGTGTCACTTCCAGCCAAAACTATTTCAGTAAGCATTAAGACTTTAAAAAATCATAACTGTTGAATTACTACTCTAACAAAATTAACAATAAGTCCTTAATGTTATCTTAAGTCCTTAGTATGCAGACCAAATTAAAATTTCCCCAATTGTCATACGGTGTCTTAGTAAACATTTGTTGAATAAATAAAAGATGAGGGAATGAACATAATTGCCTTACAGTATACTTTTCTAAGGCTTGAAACATAATCTCCCATATTAGAAATATTAGAATGGTTTGGCCAGAGAAGTCTTGTATTCAAAATTTTAAAGGTGGAGAACTGGTTCAACAAGTACTGTTCTAGTCATACCAATAAAATCTAAGAGTATAATTCCATAGAGAATATTTACCCAAATAAAATGAAGATATCTCTTTGCACAGATACTTGACCCATACTAGTTAAGTACTGGAAACAACCCAGATGTGTATCAATCAGTGAATGGTTAAACTATGATACACAATGTAAATAAAAGGAATAAAGTATGCAAAATATGAATGAATCTAAAAAATATGCTGAATAAAAGAAGCCAAACACAATTGTACATACTATATGATTCCAATTTATAAAATTCTAGAGCAGAAGAAACTAATCTATAGTAGAAAACTATCAGAATAGTGGTTGTCTGTGGGTCAGGGATTGACTGGGAAGGGGCAATGACAACTTTCTGGGGTGGTGGTAATGTTGATAGGGGTTTTAGTTGTATGGTTGTGTTTACTTTTCAAGAAAAACTGAATTGTACACTTAAGATTTTTACATGTTTTGTATGCTAATTTTGCTAAAAAATAATGTTAAATTATTTAGGTGGGTGTGTATTGATGCATGGTATTTACTTTGAAATGTATCAGAAAAATAAGATGGTTTGGTGGAAGATGCTAAAGGAATGGATATATGGACAGATGTGTCCATACATATGCAATATAAGCAATATAGTAAAATGTTAGTGGTAGATTATAGTTTTGGTGTTGCAGGTGTTTACAATTCTCCCAACTTTGATATGTGTTTTAAAATTTTTATAATAAAATGTTGAGAAAAAATTCCATAGTGGCTTTCAGAAGATGAAAGAGACAATGGGCTAGGTTGACAACATACATCACTTAATGTTTCTGAGAACTTCGCTGAACTTCCTCTCTTGCTGACATTGAATACACTGACCTCCACTCCCGGTTCTTGTGTAAACTGGTAGCTTCTTGGCCATATCAATAAGCATTTGCTTCTGGACCTCAGGTCTCTCTTCATTTTCATAGCGCTCCTTGTCTGTATAGGACAAGTGGAACTGGAAGCAGAAGTGATAGGCAAGACTTTATTTTACAATGTTTGCAGAAAGGATTTAAAACAATAACTATGTAAATGAAAATATCTGTTACCTATCCTTGAAGATCAGGTACCAATTTTGCTTATAACCTGGATACTTATCTCTGTTATATTATCTGACTTTTATCTCAATTTTCATAATTCTATGATTTGTAGTACTGTTGTATAAATACAGTAAAACTTAGATAAAGTATCTTGTCCAAGGTTGAACTCATTCAGCTCAGCTCATCAGACTCCAAGACTTGCACATTGTTCACTCCATTATACCATAATATGATGTTGCAAAGCAGGTTTGTAACAAATTGCTTCCTAGAACCCGTTGAAGGTTAACCATGTTTATTAGGTTGCAAATGTTTTTTTCAGGTGACACTGATAACAGTCTTGGAGAAGCTGGATGAGACCGTGACATTATCTGCCTATTCTAGTCTTAAAGTAGTAGAAATTTGAGTATTTCAAGTATGTATTTGAGAAGTTTTTTGATACAGACCTTGTTGTCATATTATGCAAAGATACTTCACTAAACTTGCAAACAATATGCTAACAATTTCCCAAAGTAATACAGATCTGAAAGCTTTCTTTTGTCTGGGCCAAAGGGTAGACAAAGGTGAAAAAGGGAATTTCTGGGTTTAAGCCTCAATGCTGCTCCTGAATATAAACTCAATTTGGAAAATCAGACACTCTTACTTTTTCTTCATCTGTAAATTCAAAAGATCAGTGCAGATATGCTGGATAAAAATAAGAAATTGAAAGTCTTACTTAAAGTCTAATTTTTAGATCATTTAAAAATATTAAAACATCAATCTTTTAACCCTTCTAATTGGTATCTAATATAGTATCTTATGCAACTTTATTTTATCTTTTTAAAAATGTTTTTTAATTGTGGATAGACCTTTATTTTATTTATTTACTTGTAGTACTGAGAATCAAACCCAGTGCCTCACTCACACCAGGCAAGTGCGCTACCACTGAGTCATAGCCTCAGCCCCTTAATTTTATTGTATTACTGTTTTGTTGCTGTGCTGGAGATCAAACCCAGGGCCTTGTGCATGCTAGGCAAGTGCTAGGCTATTTAAGCTAAATATATGCCTATAGTGTATAATGACTCAGCAATTCCACTCTTAATTATATAACCAAGAGAAATAAGTGTGTGTGTACATGTGTATATGCGTGTGCATACATATAAAACACATATATGTATACGAAAGATGTGTACAGGGATGTTCAGTTTTGTTCATAATAGAAAAAATGGTAACAATTCAAATGTCCTTCAGTAAGTGAACAGATGAACCAATTAGGATAAAAGGGAATAATCTACTTTAAGAATCATATGTAGTGGTATGTTTTATGGTATAATGTCATTCTGAAGCAAAGTGAGAATTAAGCACCCTGTTCAATATATGTGGAAATGTGTAGGAGCATTTTGGGATGTTACAATAAATGTGGTATACTATAGGCACTTAATATTTAGCCCAGGACGCTAAGGATTCTGCAATGAACTGTACCAAAAGGCTATAAATCTATGTTACAAAGTAGTGATTAAATGTTGTAAATGAATATAAAAACATCTGGTTATTTTATTTCTTAGTAGAACAATTATCTTGATCAACACAAAGGTATGAGTTCTTTAAAAATTATTTTTTACTTTTGATAATTAAAAGCAGCACCTTGGGGCAGCACTTTAGTTTTTGAGATGTTCTTACAAATGTAACTTTCTTATGGTACACTGCATATACCTGAAAGGTGAATACAGGGTTGTTTCTATTTGTATGTGAGAAATAACTTGTGGTCATTCAAGAGGTCAGCTTTGGTTTAGAATGTCAGGCATGGATGCCTTATTTCAGGAACTAACCAAGCCTTGTTGAGTATCAGAATGCAATGAGCCAATGAATGCATTTGGGTAGGACAAATGATGATAGACTGGGATGTATGTTGCATTAGAGAAATTAATATTGTGGAACTCTCCATTCTCTTAACAAATTAAAAATGATAAAAGATGTAGTTTTAAATGTTAGACATTTGTGGTGCTTGACTAAATCCTGTCATTATCTGTCATGATTTAGATATGAGGTGTCCCCCATAAGCTCATGTGTGAGACAATGCAGGAAAATTTAGAGGTGAAATTATGAGAGCCTTAACCTAATTGATGAATTAATCCCCTGATAGGAATTATTAACTGGGTAATTACTGAAGGCAGATAGGAGGAGGTGGGTCATTGGGGCTGTGCATTTGGGGTATATATTTTGTCCCTGATAAGTCAAGTTTAGTCTCTCTCTGCTTTCTGGTGCCATGTTCTGAGCTGCTTTCTTCTAACACAGCCTTCTGCCTTGATGCTCTGCCTCACTTTGGGCCCAGTGCAATGGAGTTGGTCATTTATAGACTGAGACCTCTGAAACTATGAGCACCAAATGAACGTTTCCTCCTCTAAAATAGTTTCTGTTAAGTACTTTGGCCACAAAATGAAAAAAACTGACTAGAACATCTCACCCAGTTTAGGCTTATAAAATTGCTAACCATTCAGGTTGCAAGTGTTTTTTTCAGTTGACACTGATGACAGTCTTGGAGAAGCTGGATGAGACTGTGGATGGCCTACAAGCTTCATAAATAATATGAAGGGGAAAATTATTTTTATTGAGCTTAAATTCACATAACTTAAATTTCATTTTAAAGGATGCATTTACAGTGTACAATTCAGTGATATTTAGTACATTTACAATGTTGTGCAACCATCATCATTATCTAGTTCCAGGACATTCTCACCACCCCAAAAGGAAATACCTTACTCATTAAGCAGTGCCCATTCCCATCTATCCCTAGACTTGCCAACCAGTAATCTACTTTCTGTCTCCGTGGATTTTCCTTTTTATGGGGGGGGCAGTACTGGGAATTGAAACCAGGGACTTGTGCATGCAAGGCAAGCACTCTACCAACTGAGGTATACCCTTAGCTCTGGGTTTGCCTTTCTAGATATTTCATATAGATATGATCAAAACTGTGTGGCCATTGGTGTCTTGTGTCTTTCAATTAGCATAATATTTTCAAGGTTCATCCATTTCATCCATGTTATACTACATATCAATACTGAGTTTCTTTTTATGACTGAATAATATTCCTTTACATGGGCATACTGTACTTAATTTATCCATTTTTCTGTTGACGGACTGTTAAGTTGTTTCCATCATTTAGCTATGGTGACTAGTGCTACAATGAACAGTTAAGCATAAGTATTTATTTGAACACTTGTTTTCAAATATTTTGAGTATATATCTAGGAGTGGAATTTCTAGGTCACATGGTAACTCTACATTTAACTTCATGAAGAACTGGACAGCTATTTGCTATACTAGCACTATCATTTTATATCTCTAGTATCAGTTTAGGAGGATTCTGATTTCCTGACATCTTCACCAATTCTTGTTATTTTTCATTTATTCTTTCACTCAGTTTTGACCTTCCTAGTGGTTATGAGGTAGTATCTCATCATGGTCTTGATTTCTATCTCTCTAAATAACTAAGGTATTAAATAATTTTTCATGTGCTTATTAGACATTTGTATATATTCTTTGGAGAAATGTCTGTTCAAGTCTCTTCTCCAGTTTTAAATTAGGTTGTTTATCTTTTGCTGTTGAGTTATAAGAATTATTTATATGTTATGAAAACTTGATACATCATATGTATAAATTGCAAATATTTTCTACCATTCTTTGTGTGATCTTTTCATTTTCTTGATAGTGTTGCTTGATGTTCAAAAGTTTTAGTTTTGGTAATATCAAATGTATTTATTTATTTTTGTTGTTTGTGCTTCTGTTGTCACATCTAAGAATCCATTGCCAAATCCAAGGTTATGAAGATTTCCTCCTAAGTTTTTAAAATATTTTTATTAGTTGTTGATGGACCTTTATTTTATTTACTTAATTTTTTTATATGTGGTGCTGAGAATCGAACCCAGTGCCTCACACATGCTAGGGAAGTGTTCTACCACTAAGCCACAACTCCAGTTCCCCACCCCTAAGTTTTATTCTAGGAATTTTGTAGGTTTCGGTCTTCTATTTAGGTCTGGTCCATTTTTATTGTAATAAAATATATATAACAAAATTTAACTATTGAAACCGTTTCTAGGTATACAGCTCAGTGGTATTAAGTATATTCCCATTGTTGTGCCACTATCACCACCACCTCCAGAACTTTTATTAATGACCCAAAGTAAAATTTTATACTCATTAATTAACTCCCCATTCCCCACCCTGTATTTTTTATATGTTATTGTTGATAGTAGGCATTCTAATGGTTATGAGGTAGCATCTCATTGGTTTTTGCTCTTCATTTTCTGGTTAAGATATAAAATTAGACTATTTAAGATACTTATCCTTTTTAAATGTGTTTACAATTTTATTGAATCCCATGGGTTTTTTTCATTTTCATTCATCTTTGTTATGGTCTAGATATTAGGTGTACCCTAAAAGCCCATGTGTGAGACAATGTAAGAAGGTTTAGAGGAGAAATGATTGGGTTATGAGAGCCTTAACTCAATCAGTGAATGAATCCCCTGATTAGGATTAACTGAGTGGTAACAGTAGGCTGGCAGGGTGTGGCTGGAGGAGGTGGGTCCCTGGAGGCATGCCTCTGGGGTATATATTTTGTCCTTGGTGAAAGGAACTTTCTCTGCTTCTTGATCATCTCCTGAGCCACTTTCCTCCACCATACTTTTCGGCCATGATGTTCTACCTTACCTCAAGCCCCAAGGAATAGAGTCAGTCATCTATGGACTGTGACCTCTGAAACTATCCCCAAAATAAATGTTTCCTCCCTTAAAATTATTCTTGTCAGGTCTTTTGGTCACAGCAGCAAAAAAAGAGCTGACTAAAACAATCTTGATGAATTTTCTGATTTTCCTGTGATTTCTTACATGATCCATTGTGTTTAATTTCCACATATATGTGAATTTACAGTTTTCCTTGTCTTATTCATTCTAATTTAATTCCATTGTAGTCAGAGAAGATACTTTATATGAGTTCAGTCTTGTAAATTTACTGAGATTTCTATTGTGGCCTAATGTGTGGTCTATAATGGAAAATGCACTTAGGAAGAATGTGTATTCTGCCATTTTGAAGTGGGTATGTTACATGTAGCTGGTTTACAGTGTTGTTCAAATCTTTCATCTCCTTATTGATCTTCTGTCTAGTTCTTTTATCCACTATTGAAAATATGGTGTTGAATTCTCTATTATTGTATGACTTTATATTTTTTCCATTAAATCTGTTAGCTTTTGCTTTTTATACTTTGGGGTTCTCTTATTGATAACTTTCACATATTTTTGATAAAGTGATCCTTTTTTCAATATAGAATGTCTTTGTCTCTTGTTAAGTCTGACTTAAAGTCTCTTTTGTCTGATATTAGAATAGCCACCCTTGGTCTCTTTTGATTACTATTTGCTTATATATTTTTCTGTTCTTTCAACTTTTTATGGCTTGCTTCTAAAGTTAAATTTTGTGGACAGCTTAAATATAGATCATGATTTTTTAAAATTCATTCTGCCAATCAGCCTTTTACAGGGAAAGTTTAATCCACTTATGCTTCAAGTAATTATTCATTAGGAAGGATTTCTGCCATTTTCTCTCTATATTATATCCCACATATTCCTCAATTCCTGCTTCACTGCCTTTCTCTGTGTTTAATTTTTTCCTTTTGTATCATTTTGATCCATAATGGAGAAAATTTGGATCTGCATTTTTCCTAGTGTTTGGAAACTGGTAAAATCTCTCCTATTGCTTTTTTCCCCTACTTCAGAATCTAACTTAGCTTAGATAAATGCTTAGTAGCATTTATCATATAATAAATGCCTGATATAACCACAAATTCCTTCATGAATTTCAAATACTGCATGAAACATGTGGATTTAAGAGAACACAGCTTGAAAATGATTGATTAAACAATTATATTTTTCTTCAGAGTCTTGCTGGGTATGAAAATAATACACTTTATAGAACTGAACTTGTTGAGGTCTCAGAATTGAAGTAGGTCCTTGTTTTTTTTTTTTCTAATTAAATCACAGTACAGGTAGTGGTTTCCTAGTCTTAAGATATCCAGGACTAGTGGTTTTACAAACTCATTCAATAGTCTACCCTACCTTTAATGTACCTTTATCACTAAGTGTTCTTCTTTAAGATGAACTTAAACCAGTCATGGTGGTGTGCAACCAAAACCCAAGGGACTTGGGAGGAAGAGGCAGGAGGATCACTCAAGCCTAGGAGTTCAAGGCCAGTCTGAGCAACATAACAAGACCTCATTAAAAAAATGATTACCCTGATTTTATTTTCAATGGAATTTAATTGCTCCACTTTTGTCCTCTTCTTGCTTTATTAGCATCTCTACTTTCCTTTGTTCTTAGCATGTATGAAGTAACCAATATTCTTACCTTCTGGTTAGGTTGCTGTGGGAGTGTAAAGATGGACTTCCAGTAGGTCCACGCAAAGAACACAAAAATGGCATGGTAGAGTATGAGGTAGATAACTGAAATGAAAAAAAAATCAGGACTTATGTTAACTTTTTATCCATTTTGAGAGTTCAAAAAGACAAACTTCCATGACAAATTTTTATCTTGTTTTCTTATTGCCAAGTATCTCTAATATTATTATGAAATATTCATTTCTAACATTTTCCCAAGCAGTGACAGAAATAAGTCATAATGCCAAATTTTGAAGCAGAGACTTCCTGGAAGTTGTATGCTCTAAAAGTTTCCATGTGATTCTGTGAGTAAAACAGAAAATGTCCTTTATGACAATATAGGAAAAGCTACTTTTATTGTTATTATCTCTGACACTGCGAGTAATGAAATGTGACAGCTATATAATTTAGAGATTATAACATTCTCTCATATTATTATAATATTCCATATTATCTCACTTTATTTTCTCAATAACATTGTGCAATAATAGTATAGGGTAGTTAATTAATTATCATGGGTAGTTGATTAACCAAAGTCACACACATAGTGTATAAAATGGCATAGTGTTAATAACCAAGTATTAGACATAGGACTTCTGACTCTAGGTCTCAAGCTCTTTTCAGTAGCCCAAAACATTACACACTTTTGATGTACCTCTAAAACAGTTGTACAAGTGGCTCTCCACTGCCTTCTTTTTCATAACCTTTGCCTCTTAGATAGCTCTTCTAACATGGGGAATTTTGGTATTCTCCACCAAAGTGGTTATAAAACTGAAGGTCAGTTTTTGTTTCACTGTGAGTACTTGAATGGCTTGGTATTATTACTTCAATCCATCAGAAAGACTCAAGGGAATGATGTGACTCAAGATAAAGGTAACAGGGCTGAACCTCTCATACATTTATGGCTAAATTGAAAAATGCCTTATTCTCTGGCCCATGCTTCCTGCCCCACAGTACATTTATATGTGCTTGACTTTAGTAATTATGAAATCTCATTTTAAGATTCAAGAATATAAAGTAAAAAATTAATGTTCACCCCACACATACATCTAACTTCCACTCTCCTCATCTTAAGGCATAACATCTCTTTGGTGTTGGGTATGTATCATTCCAGATCTTCTCATTTTTATATGCTTATAAATGTATTCATACAATAAACATGAAATTTTTATGGTATTTAAAATTTTTCTTTGTGTTGTTTTTGAAAAGTAATACATTCATAAGGTTCAAAATTTGAAGTTAGGGAAGTATACAATGAAGTCTCCTTTTTATCCCTGTACCTCATCTGCCCAGTTCCTTTACCTGGAAATAATAATTTATTGTGTTTCCTTCTGAAGTTTTTTAAAAACAAAAATCACTAGTGTGTTTTCCATACAAACAGTAGAATTCTACACACTAGTCTATATACTATTTGATATTAGTAGTATTCTATACAGTATTCCATATACTATTCTGTACCACACTTGTTTTTCACTTAGAGTTGTAGATTATTTCACTTTATATAATTTGGAGAGAGTGAGCTTTCTCAATTCCTTTTAAAAGACTTCAAGAGATTCCATTGCATGAATTTACTATAACTTATTGAACCAGACTGTCTGATGGAACTTTTGGTTTTTTTCCTCTTCTTTTTCTAATAGAAACAATGCTTCAATAAATAATGTGTATGTATATTGGTTAGCACATGCACAAAAAATATGTGTAGGATCAACTACCTAAAGTAAAATTGCCAGGCCAAAAGGTATGCCTTCTAGTAGATATTGCCAAGTTGCCAATGAGAAAAGTTGTATTTGATTTATGTTCTCATCTTCAATGAATGAATGCTTCTTGCTCCATAGTCTATCCTTTGTGAAGTGTTATCATGTTTTTTTATCTTAGGCAACCTTTGTTTATAGAGATCAAGGGTAATGGGGTTAACCAATTTAGATCACTTGGCTGATAACTAAACTCTTACACTTGGCAGTATTTTATTGGCATTAACTATGTTTTACTGCAATGATTGAGATGGGAAGTGTGGGACTTTAACTTCATCCAGGTCCTACTACACATTATTGACTGGTTTGCTTATGGAATTGGAAATGGCTGGGTCTTATTTCTGTATTCCAAGGATTCACATAAATTATGGATGCTTTTTTACAGACATGTAAAATAAAGGATCTTGTGGCTAATGAAATCAAGGCTATTCCATAGATTGATATGATAGTTTATACTATAGATTTCATAAAAATTTTAGAGTTGGTGGAGACCATAGAGATTATCTAGTTCAAACCACTCATTTTATAGAGAGGTAAATGATGCTAAGAGATGACAAATGATTTGATCAGGGTTACCATGTGAAGTTATAGAAGCAATAGAACCAGAAACCAGGTTTCTTCATTCCCAGTCCAGAACTCGTTTTCTTAGAACAGAGATTCTCAAATTTCAGTTTGCATCAAATTTACCCAGAGAGGTTATTAAAATGCACATTGCCAAGCCCTACACTAAAGATCCTGAATCAGTAATCTGAAAAGGAGTCTAAGAATCTAGCAACTCCTCAAGCTCATTCTGAGTTAACACTATAAGAAAGAGAGCCTCACAGGCCATTTGGTTGCCCAGCCTACCATCCAAAGGAGGAGGCCCATCTCTAACATCCCTGGCAGCCAATTGCTTCATCTCTGCCAATGTGAAATGACTATTTTTGAACTATGGGCAGGCCTCATGATTCTCAATTTTATATATAAAATATATATTAAAATATATATAATTTTATATATAAAATATATATTTAAAAATATAATGTTCCTAAGCTATGGTCCCAAATGTATGCAAGTCCATTCTTTTCTGCCTTAACATGCAACATATTTCTTTTTGTTAATTTTTTTTTAGTTGTTGATGGATGTTTATTTTATTTATTTATATGTGGTTTTGAAAATATCCAGTGCCTCATACATGCTTGGTAAGTGCTCCACCATTGAGCCACAACTCCAGCCCTGCAACATATTTCTTTACAATTAGTATTTATACCTAAAACTGTAATTTTTATAAACTGCAAGGACACTAAGTCTTTCTTTTAATATGATGTTCCAGTGAGGTTTCAGATCACTAGAGAAACTGAACAGTTTATGAACTGTATCCCTGAACTGTCATGACTCATTGACATTGGAATGAAATGGGAAAACATCTTTTAAAAAAAGTAAATAAAAGCACAGTAGACCCCTTTGCTTATCTGATAGTCGTGGGGCATCAGAAGCTGCAGGAGCTAAGATTATCTACCACATGAAAGCCAAAAACTCTTGAAGTGTGTGTGTGTGTGTGTGCACACGCACACACACTTTTTTCTCTTTCTTTCAACAAGGTGAAAAGGTTTGCAAGAGGAGCAGAAATAAGCCATAGGGAACATGACCAACTGCCAAAGAAAAATCTACCTAAGTACGTAGTTTGCGTTTAGTCACTGTGTTGCAATGTGAATAGCTCATTGTGGTAATAGGTTCTGAAATTAGAATGATTACTTGAGCTTTATTCCTAAAATAATGATTCATAAATACCTGGATAAAAATGATAGAATCTGAAATTACATGGTTGAAGTAGCATAAACTTGTTATTAGCAACATGTTTGGCCAGAGGGATGCCTTTTCTAGATGTTGCTCCCAGGGATTACTTGGGAAATGAGTGACTGTGTGTGTTTTTATATGTCTGTGTGTATGCAATGTCTGTGCACACATTCTTGTGTGAATAAGAATGAATACAGCAGATAGACTACTCTGAATGAAATAAGATGAGCATCAAAGTGGGAAAAAGAGGAAAGTAAAGCAACTTTACTATATATTTTCAGAAATACAAATGCTAAGAGTTGTTGCTGTGACAAAGTATCTAACATTTTCTCTTTAAAAGCTATGGTTGGAAACTATGTAGTTTAAAAACACAGGGCTGGGGATGTAGCTCAATGGTAAAGCACTGGTTGTATGAGGCCCTTAGCTTGATAGCCAATAGTGGAAAAAATAAATTTTTAAAAAGGAAGTAGAAACAAATAACAAAGACTGGCTTGATCATTTCAAAGTGACTTTCCTTGTAAGGCAGGAAAGAGACACAGAACAACAGGAAAATAGCTACTTATTAGCATCACATTACTTTGGGCTAGGGATATAGCTCAGTGGTAGAATGCTTGCCTGGCAGGAATGAAGATCTAGGTTCAATCCCCAATACTGTAAAAAAAAAAATTGAGATTATTTTATGTGATACCTTTCATGCAATTGATGAATAAAAGCTCTTAAGTTGATAGAGGAAAATGGGGAGAAAGAATCACCTTGCAATTTACACATTGTTATGATTTAGATAACGTGTCCCCCAAAAGATCATGTGTGAGAAATGCAAGAATTTCCAGAGGTGAAATTAGATTATGAGAGGTATAACCTGATCAGAGAACTGATCCACTGATACATATTAATTTAGCAGCAATTGTAGGCAGGTAGGGTATGACTGGAGGAAGTTGGTCACTGGGTTTGTGCCTTTGGGGTTTATATTTTGTTCACGGTGAGCAGAGCTCTGTTTCTTGTCGCCATGTCCTAAACTGCTTTCCTCAGCCATGCCTTTCTGACATGACGTGCTGCCTCTTCTTGAGCCCAGATATGGAGTCAGCTGTCTATGGACTGAGACCTCTGAAAATGTGAGCTAACATAAACTTTTCTTCATTTACATTGTTCTTGTCAGGTCTTTTAGTCCCACCAATGAAAAAGCTGACTAAAACACACACTATTATTCAAATAGGGACAGCAGTTGTAGCTTTAGCAATTGAAAGAGATCTCTCCTAAACTCCCTATTTTGGCTCAGGATAGAAATCCCCAGATTATGATCAGGGGAAATTTGTCAGCAGGTGACATCTCCCTTTGAGTTCAGCACTTAACAATGAGGTGTTGATTCTAATGTTCGAGCTTACTGTCTTACTTACTTTCACTGTTTTATAATTTCTAACAAAGAGCTAAACCTTCTCTCTCCCTTATCTGAAGAAATGGAGAGAATGAGGTCAAGGCCCATAGGTTGTGCCCAAAGACCTAAGGACACTTCATGAGAATAAAGAATTGCACATGAGTTGT